TCTCTCTCTCTCTCTCTCTCTCTCTCTCTCTCTCTCTCTCTCTCTCTCTCTCTCTCTCTCTCTCTCTGTATGTCATTTCATTTTCTGTGTCAGCCTCTGCCTAATCAAAGAATCAAAATATACTTTGATTCTTCTTCCCTCTTCATATATATTATCTAATTAAGTATGAAGTAACGCCTACTTCTTCAGATTTACCATTCGATTATTTCAATCAAATAATTTCGCGTAATTAAAAGCGTAAAAAAGGAGTGAAGAAGGAAAAAAAAAAGATTTTTTTTTGATATTTAAAAGAATGAAAGATGCAAGTCAGTAGCCGAACCTTCAAATCCAATACATTGCCATCTGATAAGACGAATGAAAAAAAGGAGAAACCAATCCACACACTGAAGATCATTAGTTCGGTTTCGAGAGTATAAGGTCGACACAAATGAAACTAAATGAGAGTCAAACTTCATTTTGTGTCAATGTGATATCAATGTTAATGTATGTGTCTATGAATTTTGCCATCTGTTAGCTTGATTGTCATGGATTGATGCTGTTCAACAGGTGAACGATGGTTCTGTTCTCGTCCAATTTCATTGATTGACCTTTTATGTCATAAAGCAGGCATACATACTCATCACTCACATTCAATGATATATTGATTAATATGCTTCTCAAAGTATTAAACATCTTACTTTCTCTCTTTCTTTCTCTATCCCTCCCTCCCTCTCTCTGTCCCTCCTTCTCTCTCTCTCTCTCTTTGTTAAAATGAAATTTTAATTAAAAAAATATATTTTCTATTTCAGTTTCCTAAATGTTTTTTCTTCACTCATTCTCTAAGCTTTGTGTATAATCCGTGGTTTTTTTCTTTTTTTTTTATATTTTTTCATTTCTTCTCCTTTACGACGTCCTCTTGCTTCATATTGTGTGCAACGTCAAAAAAGTATTCATAAATCCCTAGAGAATAGCCTTCCTCAACACTTTTTGCAAAAGAAACAAAAGTGTCTGTCATTGTCTCACATTGAGATGCTCTCAACTAAGACTCAAGTCTTCTTATGCAATGATGGATTGCATCCCATGTAGGGCATTTGTACTGCTTTACCGGAGTTACTTCCGCGAACTAACGATAAGCCTAAACGGAAGCATAATCTGCTTAGCCATGATGAAGAATATCTGTTGTCTATGTGTGGTGGCGGCGATGGTGGGGTAGCGGTGTTGGTGGTGGTAGTGTTTTCATGAGAAACATAGATTGAATTCACCTCCATGTATACTCCTCCTCTGTATCTCTCTCTCTCTCTCTTTCTTACTCTCTCACTCTAACATACACAAACTTTTCGGTTTATTTTTAAAATATTCGAAATTAAGCTTCGATAAGCTTAAACAAGCAATACGATATCTCATCTATTTTACCCACGGACCCTTTCTTTTTATTTCATTTTCTTTCTTTCTGCAATCAAAGTTTAATCTGGCATCCACACAATTTCACATACACATGCTTCAGCTCTTATTAGCCAACGAACGAGAAAAAAAAGTTTTTTTATTTTATTTTTGCCTCTCTCTCTCTCTCTCTCTTCCTCTCTCCGATTCTGTCTTCCTCCTTCTCTCTATCTTTATCTCTCTATATCTTACGACAGCAATGACAGAAAAGTAAAAAAGTGTTTTAAAACTTTTGAAGAATAAGCTATTCATAGCTATAACAGGAAACAACTTTGATATTTTCTCATAATATTATTCAGCAAAAGAATTTTTCACACAAAGAATGTTGGGAGGCAAACGAGGAGGAAAAAATGAAAACTGAACATCCTCAACTTTCCGATGATGCAATCTTGAAGCTTCTCTCATAACAGCTTAGGATTCTTCATACCCTCTGTCTCTTTCTCTCTATCTGTATCCTCCTCTCTCTCTATCTCTCCCTCTACTTCTCTATTTCCTACTCTTCGTTCCTATATTGTTTGAAGTGAATCTTTGATTTCTCCATTTCAAAACTTCATTCACTAGGAACTTATTGAAATTATTTATATTTTACCCTATGATTTACATAGATTACCATACCAATACATCATTCACTCATCATAAATCAAAGATTTTCCACTTGTTAACACCTCTGTGAACAGAAGGACAAAGTAAACTTCTAACTTCATTCCCAGATTGCGCCTAACATCATCTCTGCACGTGGCGAACAGCATCCATGCTTCTTCCTAATTTGACTTCGTCCCTCCTCTATCGCTTCAACTATCAATTTCCCTTCCTTCTTCTTATAAATTATAGTTGGGCTGTTCGTCTAATTGCTCCTCTCTCTCTGTCATCATCTGATTCTAACCTGAAACAAAACTTTTAACTCAACCAAAAACGTCTCAATCGCTCTCACTCTTGCTCCGCCAGCTCTCCATCTCGCTGGCATTTTCTATTTCTGGACGTGAATTTGAATAAAAGCCTTCAGGCGCCACCTGCCCCTTCATGACTTCTCGTATTCACATCGAATTCCCACAAGAAAATTGATCAAAGATCAAGACTTTTTCTCTTTTTTTTCTTCTTTTTTTTTTTTACCTTCTCGTTCACTGGAATATACGTGGACATTTCATCCGTTTCCGTTTTTGAACTTTCTCTCTATTCAATAAAGACTTTAATTTCAAATGGATACAAACAAAAAAAATGAAATCTCACGAAACTCTCATCTTTCATTCCGCTTTCCGTACAAGGCATTGACTTTGAATGGGAAGAAAGAAAAAATTTGAAATTTTAATGTCAAAATCAGTTTTATCCATTTCTTCCAAGCTTTTCATTCTAAATCAATGGCTGTCAGTTGATTTAACATTATGCTGTCAATGGCTTTCGGCGGCACAGAGTAGCCATCATCAGTTTGTCTTCGTGCACTCACTCACATACACACACGCACCACACATACACATGCACACACACACATGCATACACATTCACACATGTCTAAGCTTCTTCCTCGTCGTCGCCGATATTTCATTTTAACAAAGTACAGAAAGAAAGAGATATGGGAGAGAAGTTTTAAAATTAGTTTCCAATAACAAATTCTTTACTCTTTTACCTTCAAACACATCAAATAGCTTTTCTCTCAATGTTGAAGGTTCAACTAAGAAGAGAAACGGATATTTGTTAGAACGCGTGACGTCAACAGTTTTGTCTTTAGCAGTCTGTACTCTCTGCATCCTTGATAATCTCTCCCATATTTAAAGCTCTCTTTCTCTGGTTACTAACAGACGCGTTAGGGAGAACGAAGAGAAATAGCCAAGAACACATACGAGTAGAACTATCATCCTTCTCAATTTTTGGGATTATCGCTTATTATGAGTTTATAAAGTTGCTTATCTATCTTCCAATTATCTATTTTTAACATCTGCCCGTTTTTTGTTGATTCGTTCAATTCGTCTTATCTTTCTCTCTAGTCTCTCTCGTCTGTATCATCCTCGATCTCCATCTCTCTCTCTCTATCATTTTCTGCTCAGTGGCTTTCTGCTAAAAGTTAAACTAACTTGTAATATATTTTTTTAAAAACATTTTCAACAAGCACCAGTAATATCATATTTCGGATTATATTATCTTTCTAGTCTTCAGTTACAACAATTTACATTTCAAGTCCTTTACATATAAGGCATGTTCTTCACCATCGTCATCAGCCTAACGTGTCCGTCCATTGCTCCAAATTAGGCAAATAAACTTTGAAAGGATTGTTTTCTAACTCTCCCCTCATCCCTCTCTCTTTCTCTCTCTCTTTCTTTTTAAGCTGTAAAACATCTATGTCTTCCTTTTTCGCGCCTACTTTTCCTCATCGCCATGCTCATCATCGAAACTCTTGAGTATCACACTATATACACACATTTCCAATATCCTTCTAAGTTTATTGAGTTTTCGTCTCATATTTAATAGAAAAGGAATTTATTTTATTCATTATCAACTTCATAAGCTGTTGCATTATTTGATAATTTCGTTTTCAATTCAATACAAGCGCTGCTCTAGTAATGAATAATCAATACGTATGCTTTCTACTACCTCAATCTGTTCTTTTTATTGGCAGAGCTCCTCTATCGCCGAGCTTCTTTCGTTTATTGTCTCCTCTTCACTTTCCTTTGATGATTTCATTAGTAAATCTTTTTTATTTTTTTTTGGTCTCGGCATTCTTCTTTCTTGATATTGCCCAATTTACTTGTTTTTCTCTTTATATTTAGTTTCCAAACATTAAGTAATTATGCATTTTCTGCGAATTCGGCCCGCTTAAAGCTTTATCGCTAAGGGTAGTAAGCTCTACTTATCTGTAATTTTTTGTTTGCAACTAGAGACCGATTTCATCTTTTTTTTCACCTTTTTTATCGAATTCCTTTCGTTTACAGCTCAGTTCCAGACGTGTGCTCTCTCAAGATATCCAATTCTCACACAATTATTCTCTGCAGTTATGATATGCTTTAGTTTAACAAAAAAAAATACAAAGAAGACTGCTTGTATTACTCGTCTGTATGTGTATGTGTGTGTGTGTGTGTGTACGTGTGTCTGTGCTCACATATGTTCACGGAACTATTGATAATATTCTAATGAAGGCACATTCATCGACGCATATTAATCTCATGTAATATGCTAATGAGCTAGCTGGTCATTGACGACAACTCATTTTGGTTTTGTTGAATGCGCTGAACGGTTGTTTTCTCTCACAACCCATTAATTTAATTTATTAAGTATATATATAAAGAAATATATATGTATGTATATATCTATGTATATATATGTATATATATGTGTGTGTATGTGTATGTGTATAAACACAGGCATATATATGGGATTATCCTCTCGTTTACGTTATTTATTTTCTTTATCTTTTTTTTATTACTCTAGTTAGGCGTTTTCTAGTCTAAGAATAACTAAAATTTTATGTAATCTCACTACATCATTGTCTATTTCTAGCATGTCAGCTGAAGCTATTCCATTTAACTTTGTTATCTGACACCGTCTGAGACACTATGTGTATTTTCTTTTCGTCTAACAACGAAAACTTTGCTTGTCTTAATTAGCAGACTCCTTTAAAGCTTCCATTCCGCCTTTACACTTAGTTCGTCGCTGTATATGTAATTATAGAAATAATAGTAGTTGTAATTTAAGAGGATTTCCTTCTCAATAAACAACCTGCTCATTATGAGAACGTGACCTTAATCGCATGTTGATAACTACTATTCCATAAATAAACCCTCATGGTTTCAACATTGATCTATTAGATTCTTTAATTATTCTCTTCTCCAACTATATTAACCTCCATTATACCAATTTCGGTCGATCGTGTCGTTGGTTTGTCATGGACATAGAGCAGGAAATTTTGGAACGTTTCCAATTTCCGTTTCATTGGCATTCGTAACAGTCGAAACCTTCCTCCTGATTCGCTCCAATCTTTAGCATACTCAGAACAGTTAGAATTATGTGTGATTCTCTGTATTGCATGTTCATTCGATGATGACTGTATGAGAACATAAGAAATGAACTTCCTCATCATCCATTTGGCGATTTGTTTTCTTATGCAAACCTAATGCTCTGCACTTCCATTTGTTGTGAATTGAGTTCAACAAATGACATTCTTTATGTATTTAATCTATACTCATGGCTACATAATTTAATTTTCGTCAAAAAGTATTTTTATCTGTTTTTCTCAATACTTCGCACCTCCCCTCGCACAATACTTTTGTTCAAATGATAGATCATGGAAACAAAATATGTTTTCTTCGTCAATATTTCAAAAGTTGCAGATCATGCCGTCGCAGTTCTTCTCTGTTAGATTTATGATTTTTAGGCAAAGAAATTAGTCTGAAATACAAAATAGTTCAATGACATGAGCAAACTCATTCACGTCATTCTTTAATCCTTCACTGTTCGCTCAGATAATCTGACAGACTAGTTCTATGTGATACGTCTGCCATTACATTCTTCTACTTTCGGTCTGTGTTTCCTACTATGTTTTGTCATCTCTCTTCTCTCCCTCTATATCTAGTCTCCATCTTTCTCTCTCAAATGCTTGTAGTTTCGTAATTCGTTTTTGGAATGTCTTCATCCTCAAACTACATCTCTGGTGGCTCATGAAAGTTGCAAAAATCCAAGCATTAGCGTATTTAGTCATTATGCCCATCTTCAACGCCCATCGTCTCGTCTCGGGAATCCCCCCACCCCTACGCATGCCTGCCACATCAAGAGATTCATCAATTTCTACGTGATGATTAAAGCTCATTCGAAGTTTACTCGTTCGATCTGTACTAAAAAGGGCATTAGTTCATCAAGCCCATTTTTGTCATTTCTTCTTTGAATCCTTCGCACTTTTTGGAATGTATCTTAAGGCCGTTAGCTCCATTCTCTTTCTGCTTCTTCTCCTCCTCCTCCTCCTTTTTCTCCTCCTGTTTCCTTCTTTTCCGTGGATTTCGGGAGAAGACTTTCATATCATTTTTCTCCATTCACGTTTTGCGTCCGACTTTTCTTCGTTCGTGTCGATTTTCTGAAATCCCCTGTCATTGGAATTTTTCTAATATTTTACGATGCAATAAGATTAAAGAATATGTTTTCTTCATGAAACATTGTAAAAACTGATGCGTCGTCAGTACTCTCTGCCAAATGAACTTCGGGCTATGCGGTCAAGCTTTCTGATGAAGAAAACTTGACTCTGCTTGCATTCCTGCAATGTTTAGAAAAGAAGATGAGGTTTCCTTGGTAACTACGGTTCTATTCCATTTTCTCCTTTAACAATGAATTGTTTGCCTGTCTCTTTTTTTTATAAAAAAATATATAAATAGTATGTATACGTGCCGTTCCAATCCATTTGTCTAGCTTTACCGAATCTTCTGGGTTTTCTTACGTTTTGTGTACTTTTCGTTATTCGTCAATCTTCCGCCATCCATTCAATATGTTTGATTTATCTTTTATCTGAAGAACTTCATAAAAGTTTTTTTCTTCCGTTCCCCCATCTTCTAGTACGCTTTTTAATCGGAAAAAGACGCTTACCTCCAGTGTTTTCACCCTCGCTTCTTTGTTTCTGCGTATTTTCATGTTCACGTCTCTCTTTGACAAAAAACGACATTTCCTTTTTCTCATCAAATTATTCTTCAGTTAATTATGGAGGACATAGAGAATGATGTACGTATTGAAGCAACAAACATCAGTAGAGTGAAGTCGAAGGATGAGCTTCCTAATTCCATAATTGTTACTCAGGTTCCTGATGAGGTTTGTCCGACTTATTTTTCGCTAATAGTTCAAATTGCCATCGGAAGTCTTTCTTCCGAAGGTCATCTGTGAAAGTGCGCGTGTGAGAACGTGCCTTCACGTGAAATGTACTTCTTCTAAGTACTTAATTAACTTTTCTTTTCAGGTTTTTTTGGATCCAGCTCAGCGGGAAAACTTTTCTCAACTTTTTACTCAAATAGAAGAGAATATTCATTTCGATTTTCTTAAAAGCTTTCGTCGAGTGCGGGTGATCTTCAGGTTTTTTTTACAGCTTTAGCTCTAAAACAATTTCCGAATTTGCAGTACTCCGGAGAACGCTACAGCCGCTAAATTGATAGTTCAGGGTTTCTCCTTTAATGGACATCAGATGAAAGCTTTCTTTGCTCAGGTAAATTCCAACCAAACGCCTTCCAACCTGTATGCATAAGTTTCAGAAAGTTCTACTGCACAATTCATCGCGCTCGTTACTTTCACCTCCACCACTCGAAAAACAATTTTTAATTTCACCTCCTTGTTCTCCACCTGTGGGTTGGGAACAAACAAAGGTGAGCAGAAATTGTGCAACTAGAAGAATAAACCTCTTTTTAAGGAAATGGCTCCCGTTGTTTGCAATTTTGATCTCATGTCTCGACTAGCTTCATTCGCTCTAGATGAGAAGTGAGTTCTCGAAGCGCCTTCTGTTTTGTAAACAGTTTTACAGATATGAAGTACATAATGGAGACGATCAAACTCCCACTATCGTCGTGTATCCATGTGAAACTCCAGTAGAGGCGCCGAGTAAAATTGAAATGCCTAAAACACCAAGACCTCCAGAGGAACACTAAATATTAAATCATTTATTCATAAATTAGTATTCACTTTGTATAAAATGCAAGAACACTCCTGATAGAGCTCACTTACACTCAATACAAGCGAACTGATTAGTAAAGTTTCCAACCCAAATAAATATTTGCCATTCCAGAAATTAAAAGGGTCCTCTTATAGAATTATTAATCACAGATTAACAGATATCACAGTTCTCCCCGTATTAAAGCCAAATACCCAATCAAGCATGTTAAACCATTTCGAAATCTCTTTTCGCTATAATAGGAGTCCTTCCATAGAAGAATCTACCAACGAAGTGTCTTATCTTGGTGTTCCAGCTTTCTTTATTTTTACTTAAAAGATGTATATTATATATATATATATTGAAATCTTGTATCTCTTACCTGTACAAATTCAAATATATAGCAAGTAATATGACAAGGCCTGCCCATATATAGTCCACACTGAAGGGTTTCGAAAACAGAACGAAGGACAAGATTATGGTGACGGCTTTCCTCAGTGTTGTCACAGTCACTGCTACTAAAGCTCCACTGACCTTAAAGCTTCTTCTTCTTCCACAATATTTCAAAGTAACCCTACCTTTATTAAGGTTAAAACTACGTTCACTCCTAGATAACCTAAGAGACCGAAAAGTAACGCATACCCATAGGTCTTCCACGGGTTCTAAAGCCAACTAATGTCAACTTCAACGAAAAACAACCGACCTGCCAGAAGAAAATGAAAGCATCAAATATTTCCCCGGTGACAACAACATAGCCTAGTATGTACATAGAACCAATTGAATACGAATATAACACCTGAAGAAAATAAAAAGCAATATAAATAACTGAGACAACAAATACCACTTCATTACTTGAACCCCCAAACTTCTTCATATTTTTCTCTTGAATATTTCCAATCACAGCATCCGCAAGTAGGGCTCCAGAAATCATTACATATCCTCGAGGTTCGAAATTGGGAGACACTTGACTATCAGCTAGAGTAAACATTATTAAACCTGAAAAATGAAAATAATTTTCTTATTTCTTCCATTTCATACCCAAGCTCATTAATATGGCAGCAAAAATATCCAAGCAGCCATAACGTTTTCCTTGAATTATGATCCCTCCGATTAGTACGGGGATGAGCTTACAGCATTTGAATATAACCTGAGAAGAAGAACGTTGATCAATTTGGCAGAACACGAACCTGAGTTGGATAGTTCAAATACCCCACTGATGCATTCGAGAGACCCATAGTTGCTACTGTGAAGAAAGCGATCAAGACATATACTTTCAAAGGAATCCTTAAATAAAGCTTCAAACCGGACACGCTTCACCTACTACCTTCTACTGGTATCATGCCATAGGAGACACTCACAGTATCCTAATCCACTATACACAAAAAACTGGATAAGAGTTAGATACCACCCGAAAGGCTTCATTCCCGGTAGTTTGAATATAAGTTCCTAACAAGCTTGATATACTACGACTTGTAATGTTTCATCTACCTGCATATATCCATATCCTATATACAGCACGAAGATCGCACTAGCCAAAGCAAGAAATTGGACATACTTGGGTCTACAAAAATTCGTTTGGGAAAAATAATTCTTCAACTACTTGTGTGTTAGATTCCATCCTAACAAATGGATCTCATTGGTCATCTTCTCTTTGGCAGATTGAAACCCTATTGTTTGTTTGATTATAATTATAATTATATTTGTGATGTGGTACTTTCTAGGTTCTAACCAATTATACACCATCAATGAAACAAACAACAACTTCATTGCAACATAACAATTACTTCTTAGAATCAAAATAAGCCTGGAGGACGGCTCTTCCTTGCTCTTCGTTTCCGTAATCCTTAACGACAGCGCAGGAGCATCCGACGACCTTTCTGGCTTTTCCCTCCTTATCGTACTTGCAAAGTCCGCACCATTCTCCGATGATCTTCTTATCGGCAACCTTGATGAGCGGGATGTTGTGCTCATTGCACAAAGCTTCGACCAACTTGACGTATTGGGGTTCGTCACAGTTTTCGGCAAGGACACAGAAGTGAGCCTCACGCCTGAATAAGAATAATTATAACATTGATTCAGATAGTTAATATAAATGTCAACAAACAACGGCACTTGAAACAGGGTAACACCAGTTACAAGCATTGCCGAATATCCGTTGTTCTATATCGCACGAGACAGGTCCCTAATCACCATTGAATGGTGAGTAGGTGTTTAAATGTGCAGGAAAACACAATCAAAATACTTACTTGTCGAGAGCCTTGGCAGCCTCGTGGAGTCCCTTAGCCAAACCGTCGGCGAAGTGAGCAGATCTCAAAACAGCCTTCAATGATTGTTGGACATCCATCTGTGCTGGGGCATCAGTAGCAGCAGCAGAAACTTGCACTTCATCTCCTCCAGCATCAGCCATTTTTGCTAGATTCCTTGATGAGCCGGAACTACAAGAAAAAAAGTAAAATAAAAAACACAAAAAACTGGAAACAACTGAAAGGATTCAAGACATACTTATTCAATTACTTGTATAATGAAAAAAATATCTAAACCATTCACTCTTGTATATTTAGACGTTAGTCCTAAAACGTTCCACACAAACTGCGTATCCACGTACTGAGCAGCTGATGCGCAGCCAACCCTACATTTTGCCGCTAAACTTGATTTTTGAAACTAAAGTCTTCTTACTGTTTTACTGTTAATTGTGAAAGTATCTAGAAATGACTTTTGAGGGAAATCAACATTTGATGACATTACGAGCATTGGAACATCGCAGCGCAAGAGCTTCAGAAACCTTCATAATCTTTTTACATTGCTCCTTGAATCGTCAACTGTTTCGCTTTTATTAAATTTTCAGATCGCATGTTCACGTGGTGCTCTTCAGTGGCATTAATGGCAAATTATTTGTTCCTTATAGTTAACAGTGATCAAGTCAATAAATTATCAATTTCAAATTGTTAAATTGAATGACATGGTATTCGACAGAAAAACCCGGGCAAACTGAGACGCAAATTATTATAGTTTGCATCTTTTACAAAAAGTAGCATAATAATGAACATAACATGTGTTACTATCAGAGAGTGAGCAATTTGGATATATGAAAACAGTGAACATATACCACCTTGAAGTAACTGAGCTTGACAGTATTATGTATCACATGGTTTCTCCTAATTTCCTACAGAGTCAGATTGATTGGTTGTGATGATTGTTTATTACTTTTCGAAGCCATCGTGAGAATAAACAGAAATAAGAGTTATCAAGCTTCTCCTATAGAGTTGAAACCTTATTTGTGTGAAATATCGCTCGATTGACGTTGGCGAATAGATTTACGGTTGTTCGCCTATGTTAACTTCTTGGCTTCACACGGTAGCGGAAATTTGAACCATGTTGGGCCATGTCCGGGCTGACCGAGCTAGTTCAATCATTCAACCTTATCAAAGCAGAGTGGTCTTTTCACAAAGTATTTACTAGATGAAATCTGTTACAACATTCATCCTCGAATCTCCTACCTAATCACCCAATTAAACAATTTGAAAATGATAATTTATTCATTAAGTCACAGTAAACTATAAGGAACGAATAACTTTTCATTAATGCGATCACTGAAGAACACCACGTGAACATGCGGTCTGCAAAATTAATAATTAGCCAATAGTTTACAATGGATATGTCAGCAGGCACCTGCACGTGAAATAGATAATGCTAGTTCAGATATAGCAGGTATGTTTTCGTTATCGCACAAGTCAGGTCCCTACGATACCAACAAATGGTGAGTAGGTGTTTTAATGCGCAATACCCAATTTCAGCTATACTCACCAAGATCATTCAACCAGAGCCAAAGACAGCAACCAAGAGCCGA